ACTTCAATTTTTGCAAGAGCCCTAATAATAAACAATGTAATCCTAGCATCCATTTGGTATAAATCAGCATTATGGTGTGTTAGTAAGGAGAGAACCAAAACCCTCCAGAAGCAAGTTACAACTTTTCTATGGAGGGGTGATCACGAAAGAAATAGGGTCATACCAAGGGTTGCATGACTTTCCTTAATTCAACCGAAATCAAGGGGGGGCTGGGGGTGTTGGATCCAACTTTACAATATCAAGCCCTCTCGCGTCAATGGCTAAAAAAAATCATCTTCTTAACAGATGTTCCATGGACAACCATGACCCTGGAGCAGATTCGCAGGTTAGCACCCCGAACCACAAAGGATACCCACCCCTCACCTCGGTGAAAGATAGATTTTGGCGTATCCCAAGAGCTTGGGCACAATCAAGGGAGGAAGGAGTTAGAGGAGCAGCAAAAACAGATCTATTGTTACATAACTTCTGGTCTGTCTTTTGAAAACATGGCGTCGCCTTCCATTATCAGATAGGTAATTTCCCTCAAGGTATGCGGAGGTACTTCGACAACATCTTTTTGGAAATAGATGGATAACTGACGAGAATAGCTGCATTTTCAACAACTCAGATTCTCCGTGGTCCCAGTGGGTCAAAAGGGGGGTAGTAAGGGTTAAGGATATATGAGACCCAGTAACGAAAGATTGAAAATCGCCAGACCAGCTGAAGGGAATCCTAAGATATACCCACCAACTAGCTCAAAATCTAGACCAAATTATTTTATCCGTCCCGCTAGACTGGGTTAAAACACTCAGGAAAGGGATCAGTTTCCAGGAGGAAGACTGGGTAGCAAACTGTGATACAAATGAAAAACTTTTGGTAGGTCAAGTGATCCACCTGTTGCCCCAAGGAGCAATTGTTCTCGTAACACCGATACTACTTATGTGACCCCTTCAGATAGGGTGATTTTTTTTCCCCACACTCACATGTACCGCATCAGAGTTATTTTTGTCTCCTCCATCAAAGGTTGACGTTCCTTCCATCCTGAAATACCTATCCAGAACTCCCTTTTGACCCTGCAAAGTGGATATGGCGAACAAATAAAAAGGGGAAACCTCGCTTGCTACAATCTCTGTCAGTCAAGGCATCCTATAGGCTTCTAAGACCAAGGGTAGATATATCAGCAATTCTGCAAGAACGATGGGCATGACATTTGAATGTTGATTCACAACTTCTTAAGAATGTAAAAATTTTTAAGTATGTCAAGCAACACCCTGCCAAGTTTGCATACCTCCAGTGACAGATTGCTCATCGCTGCCTACCAACAAATGATTGGATAGTTGACCATTCGTCACTGGAACAGCAAGGTCTGGCCACTCCTTGGTGTCCTTTTTGTTTATCAACCTTTCCCTCGAGGAAAATCCGAGAAACCATCGAACATATTTTCTTGCAATGTCCAGGCTCGGTTCTCTTATGGAGAAGATGGGATTGCATCTGGAGAAGTCTAACAGGGGTGAACTGGTCTTGGGATTGGAAGGCAATTTTACTGGGTAGGTGGGATCCTCTCGATTGCTCAAATTCAAACTTTCAAAGAATAGCCTTTTTGAAACTGGTCGTAAAGCAGTATTATGGACCCTATATGGTACAGACGTTGTATCAGAGTAAGAGAAGGAGTCCGTTTAGAAGGCCTAGAGGTTGCTGAACTTGTTGTCCATTTCATACAAACAGAAATCAGGGCTCACTGGTCGACCCTTAAAACCAAATTAATGTTTTTTCACCAAAAAAAAGATATCCTGCAACATATTCAGAAATTTAATTTGGACTGGCTTGGGGAAACTGCAGGGAGGGGATTGGGCGAAGTGCGCTGGCCAGGGGCGGAAGAAACAGCGGGTCATCTTCAGAGGGATTTCCAGCTTGTTTTTGGTAACTGGTTCACGCTTCAGCCTGGAGACTCCCTCAGACCTCCTCATTGTTTTCCAGATTTCTTTCCTCCTTCGGACCTCTCCCTGGTTGATTTGCAATGGTATGGTAGGGAGGGGTTAAGATCCAATTGATGTTAGATGGGTAGGGAGCTTGGCTGACAAGTGACATCTGGCAGACCCCCTGGGTCTGAAAAGGCTTCCATATCCTTCTGACCATACACTCAATGCAATGTATTTTTGGGGACGCTGGACCCCTTTTCCAGCAGGTGCAGCTCCTCACCAATAGAAAGGAGCCACCGTAAGGGCATGGTACCTGATGATGCTCGTCTCATCTCAGGTAACAGTCCCAGCGGATGTTTTTGTTTAAAAAAAAGAAAAAAAAGAAAAAGAAAAAAAAAGGAAGTACTGGTGGTTCACGTCCTACGAAAAAAGGAAGTACTGGCGAAAAGTGGTTCAAGTCCTGATGGGCAAAACGGCACGAGCTTTGTGAACTAACTGCAAACACATCATGACCAGCCAAAAGAGGCTGATAGGACCACTCTCTCTCTCTCTCTCTTTCTTTTTTTTTTTTTTTTGGTGGTGGTAGGAGAACCGCCAGAATTGAGGGCTCGGCCAGAGGACCGCTCTGTCTCACCGGCCATGACTGGAAGCGGTTTTTTTTTTTCTGTTTTGGGCCAGGCACGGAACCAGCAGCTCGCCTAAAAGAAATTGTGGAAGGACCGCCCATGGGAGTCTCTGTGCAGCCTAATGAACACCTGTAGTTGCATGTTCACACCTAGCTCCCGAAGTCCCCTTGCAATCGGGATTGCATGGCGTCTGCTTCAACCGGGGCTAAGCCGGGGGTAGGGGTCTCTGCTTAGCCCAGGTGCCTGCAACCGCTCTCTGGTCAGGTCACCCCGCCAACTTGAAGATGGTGATGGGTGATGGTCCTGGGTGGTTTAAAAAAAAAAAAAAAAAAAAAAAAAAAAAAAAAAAAACAACCACTAGGGTAGGACAAGGGGGGTGCTAGTGTGGCAGGGCAAAAGACAAGAGGAAGGGTGGGTGGCATCTTCAGAGGGGTTCGTCTGGACAACGAATGGCCGATTACTGTGGTCGACTGTCATTTGTCTAGTATCCTACCTGAGGCTACCTCTACAACAACCCGGGCCTTATGACAAAAAAAAAAAAAGTTTGTTTTTCTTGTTTTCTTTTTTTAGAACTACACTACATTCTTGACCTACCTACCCCTACTCCTAAGGCTATACAGGGGACCCCTCCAAGCATAGCTATGTACCTCTCTAGGAGAATGTAGCTTACCACTCCCTGTGGAGGGAGGTGCTTGCATGATTGCCCCTTGCCCTAGTGGTTTAGCGTGCAGAGTTGGGGCCGCCGGTGGGGTGCCGGTTAACACAAGGACCCAGCGTTTGCCAGGAGCTGTGCCTCCCTTTTCGTCTTCCCCCACCCCCTTCGAGTAACAGCAGTGTCTAAGGCCTACACTCTCCCACACACCACACGCAACCCACAGTGTTGGCTGAAGACCCTAAAAAGTGCCTTTTCAAAATGAAGAAAAACTGTTTTACTGTTTCTTTTTTTTTTTTTTTTTAATTAGGCTAAAGTGCATCTGTAGATTCTGTACGTGGAAAACAGAAGTGGAAATTATTTGCATGCCCCGGACCGAGGTGGACCCAGGTTGTATGGTTTTGAAAAGGGCATTTAAGGGACCCAGGTTGTATGGTTTTGAAAAGGGCATTTAAGGGACGCTGGACCCGGTTTCCAGCAAAAAGAGGTATTCCATTTTGAAAAATAGAGCTGAATTCTCAACACATGATTCTCTTTTTTTTTTTTTTTTTTTTTCTTCTCAATTCCTCAGTATGCAATAGACGCCACGGGGAAAGTAGGTGGTGGGCAGGGGCTGGGAGAAGGAGGGAGACTCCAGTGGTGCCCCCCGGCAGCCCTCCCCCCAATACCCGACCGTGCCACAGAATAGATTGGAGCATTTTCCCCGGAAAAAAAAAAAAGAAAAAAAAGTGGTGGACCCAGATTGGCACCACAAAATTGCAGTTGTAAACAACTATCGCATACCCAGGCCAAATTATGGGTATAGCTGGGACTAGCCTGGACTGGCCAAATTGTTCATGTACCATTCTACTGGATAAACGGGCTGAAATTACGCTCATACCCAGCACTGCAGCTGTTGGGGCACAACAGTTCACCTGGTGGGCATGCACATAATTTCATGGTCCACCATCCAAGGCCCACCCCCGGGTGTGGGTACACCCACAATTTTGCAGCCCTGTTTCAGGGCATGAGTATGATTTTGTGGTCCAGAACGGAGGGCCTGCAGGACTGGGTATGCCTACAATTTCGTACAGGGGAAAAGTTGGGTACTATGCAAAAGTGAACGGGGTCTGGGGGTTATAGATGGAAGTTCCGCGTTGGGACTGGGTATGGCGGGTATTCCCATCTTAAAGTGTGTTTTTTTTTTTTTTTTTAAGGGTGCTAAGGACGATTAGGAGAGGCGATAAGATCTCCCTCTCCTAATAATCCTCAGCTTTAAGTAGGGTACAGATGCAATTTTGAATTTTCCCTTAAAAGTAGTTATTAACTTATTGTGCTGTCACACCCCGGACCTAGCTGAACCTCACGGCGCAAGTGGGACTTGGCACCCTTTGGGATAAAGCATGGTTTTCAACTTTTCACAGCAATCAGACCATGAGGGAAGTAGGAAAAAAAAAGAAATGTACGGGAACTTGTTCTGTCTCGAATAGTTTATTGAAATCTGCATCCGGAAAAAAAAAGAAAGAAAAAAGAAACGATGCAAGCATAGGTGTGAACAATGACACTAAATAGCTAATTCCAAATCCTGGAGGGAGCGAAGCCTAAATCATGCATGACACAAATTTGCTCAAACGGGCTAGCAAACAGAATACCATGCACAGAAAGTCAAAGCGAGGCAGATTTGTGGATTTAAGAAAAAAATAAAAAAAAATCTGGGAGACGGCCGAATGTACCATCCGGGCACCGAAGACAACAAAATTTAAGGCAACATACACTCATGATTGAAGATAATATTGAATATACATAGTACAGAGTCACATGCCGAACAGTGAAGCATCAAGCAAACCCGGGTGATTTGATCGTAACCTGACAGCAGAACTACCGGTAGCCGTTTAGGGGACGAGCCAGAGAGAGCGGAAGGAGGAAGAGAAAAGAGGAAGAGAAAGGAGGAAGGAAGAGAAACGAGGGAAGACAGAAGAGGGAAGAAGGAAAGGGCACGACTCGGAGGAGGAAAAAGAGAAAGAACAATTATCATGCTCAGCGACCCAAGTGCCCGTGCGACAAGGTTCGCTCGATAGTGGCTCAACTAGGGCTGGGACTCTGGGAGAGGTTTGTCCTGGCCTAGCGCTGGTGTCTGCAACCACTGTCTGGTATATCCGAGGTAGGGCCAACAACTTGAAGTGCTCCTGGGAAGAAGAGGTTACACTAAGGAAGCAGAAGGATGAGGTAGGTAGGGGTGGGTCCTGTGAGCACCCAATAAACAAAAATAGAATTAAATCAATTAACAAAAAAGGATAATTTAAGAAATTCTTGGAAAAAAGGAAAGAAGGACGAAGTCCAAGCAACACAATAGATAACGAAAGAAAGAAAGAAAGGACGAAGAAAGAAGAAAGAAGTGGAATAGAGGCCCAAGGATTAGTCCCAGGGAAATTATGATTCCGAGTTTGAAACCAGGAAATGGATGTCGAAATTCTCCCAATGGCATTGAATTTGGCAAGTTCGTCAATGGTACGTGATCAGGATAGACTTTTTTCACAGAATAGACGTTTTTCACAGAATAGTCCACACAGTGACTGCAGATGTAGGTTACCTTCCTATCCAGAGGCTAGTACGAGGGAGGGAACAATCCTCGAAGCGAGAGACGGGCACAAAGGCGGAGCCGGTGATTGGTCAACCAGTTTCTGCCATCCTGCAGTGACCGTCACGGCGTCCAGCACATGTTGTGACCCAGTTCAGCTGTCAAAAAAAAACCTTTTTTTTGTCCCCTTTTTGCCAATCATTGGGGGGGGCTGACCAGGTGACCTCTATCCCATGCCTCAGGGTGGAGAGTGAACGCTCGTCGCTCGGGAGTCGGGATGGAAGTGTTGCTGGGTGGATGACTCCAATTATACATGGGTGGGGAGCTGCACCTGCTGGAAACCGGGTCCAGAGTCCCATTTAGAACACATGCAACGAAGGCGGGGTGACGGAACCTAGTATATACATGCCTTTCGTTACGTATAATATCCCCTTAGTACCAGGGTCTATGCATACGGGTGCAGCCCTCCCATTATGATACCTGGTGGTGACCTTTGCTGAGCCCATAGCCCAGCCATTCTACATCTGCTCTGACATGTTAATATTGTGTGCAATCAGTCTAATATGCTGTCATCGCACCCTGTGATCCCTCCCCGACCTGTGTACCGAGTATTACCAACTGTGTTTACTTTTTTTTTTTTTTTTGGTCCGTGGTCTGTTTCAGTCCACGAGGACTTGTTACCTTATTTTTTTCTGACCGGCGTCTGCAGTAACCCTAGGTGGTTGCGCTCCAGTACTCACCATTTCAAAACACAACGCATCTGGACTGATGGGTGGACCAGAAACATGATCATCTGGACTGATTCCCATGTTCAATGTGTGGGGGGGGACCATTAGCAGCTCTGGATATACTAAGAATGCTTTGCAGTGGAGTGTCGGAGGCCCCTGCTCTCTATCTTCCATTATAATAGAGACTCGATGTGGTGGGGCGAGAGAACATGAGCCCGGGCCCCAAGTGTCTCTCTTCTCTCTGTCACGTGGAGCCAGATGAGGCAGCTGCTCTATAGCTCTTCGCTGAACTGTCTCGGAGTCCATAACTTTCCATGAAGTATCCTCTGTAATAATCTGCGTATTCACATTGGTCGTGAAGCTTGGAGGTGTACTCTTTGTCTGACTTCTTCTCGTTATCACTGCTGCCTGCTGAGTTTCTGCCCCGGCTGCTGGAATACAATGGCAGCTCTGTGAAAAAAAATTCCCGGCCGTATTTTTTACAGCTTCTCTCAATTCTGCTGGATGACTCTGCATTCAAGTATTTCCTCCGGAGCATTTCGTGTACGTCTCTTGAAATCTAGCGACCAAACAAAAGAAAAAAAAAAGGAAAGGTCATAATGATTGAGAAGGAGAAACAACCAGGCCTGTTGTTAAAATGCGAAATCTGGTAGGCAGCAGTGAACCTTTTTTTCTTTCTTTTTTTTTAACAAGTGGGCCCAGTGCCCAAGGTGAACCTGACACAGCTGTAGCAGGCAATCAAGCTGGTTGGCATTTTGATGACATCAACACAAATTGATCACATGGATGCGATGGGATGAGATAGATAAAAAATTTTGAGTCCCTAACAGATAGAATTCAAAGCTTGATTCCCTGACGGATAGAAATATTCCTGGTCCTTTCCCGGTCCTTTCCAGGTCCTTTCCTGGTCCTTTCCTGGTCCTTTCCAGGTCCTTTCCAGGTCCTTTCCTCAGTTTCCTGGTCCTTTCCTGGTCCTTTCCTGGTCCTTTCCAGGTCCTTTCCTGGTCCCTTCCTGGTCCTTTCCCCAGTTTCCTGGTCCTTTCCAGGTCCTTTCCTGGTCCTTTC